AGTTAGAGAGAGGCAGAGAGAGGTCTTCCACCCACTGCTTCACTCCCCTTTTGGCTGCAACAACTAGAGCTGCGCCCATCCAAAGGGAGGAGCCAGGAGCTGCTGCTGCTGCTGCTGTTTTTTTTTTGTTTTTTTTTTTTTAAGATTTATTTATTTGTTTGTTTATTTATATCAAAGGTGAAATCACAGAGAGGCAGAGTTAGAGAGAGAGAGAGATCATCCATCCGCTGGTTCACTCCCCAGATGGCCACAATGGGTAGAGCTGGGCCGATCCAAAGCCAGGAACCAGGAGCTTCCTCTGGGTCTCCTATGGGGGTACAGGGACCCAAGCACTTGGGCCATCATCTGCTGCTTTCCCAGGCCATAGCACAGAGCTGGATTGAGCATCCGGGACTCGAACTGGCACCCAGATGGAATGCCAACACTGCAGGTGGTGGCTTTACCCACTCCACAGCGCCTGTTCCAAAGGTTGATCTTTTTACAAATTGGATTACTTTTGTTTTTCTTACAGGCTTAAAAGGGTGTTTTATGCATGCTGAGTGGAGTCTTGGGGTTTATCTGTTTCATCCGTCTTCTACCAGTCTGTGGTGTTCCTTTCACTCTGTCCATGTAGTCTGAGGATGAAGACCAAAATTTCAAATTTTTTAAATGATTGGTGCCTTTGGGTCCTGTTTAAGTAATGTTTTCTTTTTTTATTTTTTGACAGGCAGAGTGGACAGTGAGAGAGAGAGAGACAGAGAGAAAGGTCTTCCTTTGCCGTTGGTTCACCCTCCAATGGCCGCTGTGGCTGGCGCGCCGCGGCCGGCGCACCGCGCTGATCCGATGGCAGGAGCCAGGTGCTTCTCCTGGTCTCCCATGGGGTGCAGGGCCCAAGCACTTGGGCCATCCTCCACTGCACTCCCTGGCCACAGCAGAGAGCTGGCCTGGAAAAGGGGCAACCGGGACAGAATCCGGCGCCCTGACCGGGACTAGAACCTGGTGTGCTGGCGCCGCAAGGCGGAGGATTAGCCTTTGGAGCCACGGCGCCGGCTTAAGTAATGTTTTCTAATGTAAGGTCCTTTTGTAAAAGTTGCTTGTCCCAGAATACGAAATGAGCGACTGGCCTTCGGGCAAACTGTGGTCTAGGAGAGTTCTTCTCTTGCTACTGGACCATCCTATTTTCTTTCCGTTTCTTTCCAGATTTATTTATTTGAAATGGAGAGAGAGAGAGAGAGAGAGAGAGAGAGAGAGAGAGAGATCTTTTATCTACTGGTTCACCCTCCAAATGACTGCAGTGGCTGAGGCTGGGGTGGGCCGAAGCCAGGAGCCTGGAGCTCCATCCTGGTGTCCCACAGGGGTGGCAGGGGCCCATGCACTTGGGCTGTCTTCCCCTGCTTTCCCAGGCTCATGAACTGGAAGCTGAGTGAGAAGCAGAGCGGCCGGGAGCAGCTGGGATTGGAGCCAGCGATTGCAGGCGCCGGCTTACCTTGCTGTGCCACAAGCTCGGCCCTGAGACTTTCAGGAGAGGGTGGTCGTCAAAGCTGCTGATGCAGTGTGTGGCGTTACTGTCTGTCAGTCAGGAAGGACACTGGTGGTAAGTGGTGGGGACTAGTGGGACAGCAACGTCATCACCTCTGCTCCTGGGCAAGGAGGACCACTTGACCTGCGATCCTGTTTCTCCGGACCTGTATCAGAGTGGGGGCTGTGAACCTCATTACACTGCACCAGCGTGAACTTTCAGGAAGTACTGTAGGTTTCCCGCGCAGCCGTCCTGTGACACACGCACAGCTGCTTAGAGTGTGGTCCGCACAGGGGCATCGCTTGGGAGTTTGTTTACAATGAATTATTTGGTTCAATCCCAGAACTACTGAATTAAAGTCTCTGGAGGTGAGACCCAGCGACCTATGCTTTAATAGATTTTCTAGGTGATTCTGATGCGTCATGAATTTAGAGAACCACCACAGAACAGAATTTCTAATAAAAACAAACAGGAAACCTGAAGATTAGTCTCCAGCTTAAATACCAGGCACCTAACATATGCTGAGGGGCCAGCATTGTGCCATAGCGGGTAAAGCAACCGCCTGTAGTGCTGCCATCCCATCTGAAGGCTGGTTCCAGTCCTGGCTGCTCATTTTCCAATCCAGCTCTCTGCTGTGGCCTGGGAAAGCAGTAGAAAATGGCCCAAGTCCTTAAGTCCCTGCACCGGCGTGGGAGAGCTGGAAGAAGCTCTTGACTCCTGGCTTCAGATTGGCCCAGCTCCATCCATTGTGGCCATTTGAAGAGTGAACCAGCAGATAGAAGACCTCTCTCTCCTCTCTGCCTCTGTAACTCTACCTTTGAAATAAATAAATAAATCTTAGAAAAAAATATGCTGAGTAGATGTGCAATGAACAAGAACATGAGTGTGTGAATGAATGTGGAGCAGAGTTCTGCCGCTACCCACATACATTGAGTGAGCAACGTGCCGAATATTTTCTGGTCATTGAGGCTTAAAAGGAATGTCTAAGAAAAAAAACAAGTCCATTTGACGGCGATCCACTTTGAGAAAGAGCTGCAGCCTTCCAGGCAGGGTGGTGAATGAGTGGGGTACTTCAATGTCTTTGGGAAGAGTTTTATTTTCTGAACTAGAGAATTCATATTAAAGTAAATTTATTTATTTGAAAGGTGGAGTTACAGACAGAAGTAGAGACAGAGAAATTGATCTTCGATTCACTGCTTCACTCCCCAAACGACTGCAACAGCCAGGGCTGAGCCAGGCCAAAGCCAGGAGCCAGGGTCTTCCCTGGGCCATTAGCAGAGAGCTGGATCGGAAGTGGAGCAGCTGGGACAAGAACTGACGCCCATTTGGGATGTGGGTGTTGTGACTTGGGATGTGGTGGCTTAACTTGCTACAGCTCAGTGCAGGCCCCTTGTTTTCTTCTTATTTAAAGCTTCTGTCGTACAAATGTCCTCCTTTCCCCCTCTGGCAAACAAGTCCATGTTAAGGCAGAGCAATCATGAAGTCTCATCTTTATTGTGGAGTTGTCCCAGTACTAACTTCTGGCCATGCTGTAGGCTGTTAAAACAACCAGGCATTCTTCCCCTGTTATATTCCTGGATGGTGTACAAACATGTACTTTTTTTTGAACAAATGTATGTGTTCGAAAGAGTTAGAGAGGGCGAGAGACAGAGATCTTCCATCTAGTGGTTCACTCCCTAGATGGCTGCAACGACCCAGGCTGAGCAAGGCCAAAGCCAGGAGCTTCTCCTGGGTTTCCCAGATGGGTGGCAAGGACACAAGTACTTGGGACATCTTTTGCTGCTTTCCGAAGCCATTAGCAGGGAGCTGGATCAGCAGTGGGGTAACTGGATCACGAACTGACGCCCATAAGGGTTGCTGCATCGCAGCGGGCGGCTTTACCTGCTACAGGACAATACCGAACCCGGACGTATACAATTATCAACGTTAGTTCATTATCTCTGAAATTATGTCCTGACACCACCAGATAGCAAAATGCCGCTAGTGCACCGAGTAACTAAGTGGAAATAGAGACGTGGAGTATTCCTCTCCTACAGCTTGTCTGTAATGGGGATGTGAGGGAGATTTGTTCCCAGTCGTGGAGGGAAGGCGATTGCAGAAGCCAGTTTCGTGAGTTCTTTCAGCTTAGTGTAGAGGTAAAAAGCCGGCAAACAATGCAAAGAGGCAGAAACTTTTATTTGACAGAAAAGAAACTTTTATTTAATTGGCAATTGACAAAAAATCATCTGGTTCGAGAGGAGACACTGGCTTTGAGGAAGTATCCGGGTTTTTAAGGCATTACTGTTTTTTTCTTCTCATGGAGTCATTCTGTGGGGGTGCCCATTGGATGGGATTTCGCGTATGTATGTTGATTGGCTTGGGGCTCGTGAAGATTCTGGGGGTCTCCTGGAGAGAGTCTGTCTCCTTAGGGGCTCAGCCCCCTCTGCCAGCTCTGGGTGGAAGATGGCACCCACCCTGAAGGTGTGACCTAAGTCCGAAAGGTCACACGTGCCGCACAAGCAGCTGTTGGTGGGGAAATGCCGGCCGGTCTGTAGACTGGCATTCTAGCCACGGCTGGCAGCCTGCTTGTGCAGGACATTCTACCTATGTCTGAGGGGCCCACAGACTGGACGGCCTCAAGATTGATGGGAATGTTATATTTTGGGCCCAAAATTAACATAGAATTTGTTAATCTGGAATTTAGTGGTTAAGGAGATAAAGAAAGGGAGGAAAACTCACATTGCCCCAAACCAGTAGATACAGTGGGTTGACCCCAAGCACAGGAAGCGCTGTGGGGCAGTGGGGGCTGGGTGGACAGAGCCAAGTAGCACAAAGCTGCCTGGGACCCAAGTGTTGGCTTCTGTCCCTTCCCCATTCCTTTTACTTCAGCCATCAGTAAGCATCCCTGCACGTCTGTGGCAAGCAAAGCGTGGGGGCATGGCCTTAGTCCTTGGGAAAGTGTGTGCAGGCAGCACGGTGGTGTGAAGTGCACGGGAGCCCAGAGACGCGGGGGTTGTTTCCCGTCTGAGAGGTGTCCAAGGGGTGGGTCGTGGGCCAAGTGCTGCTGAACTGGGCTCTGGATGGCTGCAAGGTCAGCGAGGTGTGTGACTAGGCAGGTTGGGAAACAAGGGTGAACTCCAGGACAGTTCATCTCTGGGGGGCCGTGTCTGCGGACCGAGACAAAGCACTGCAGGAGAGCAGCGTAAGGGTGAGGGAACGAGGTGTGGGCGGGTGGCCGGAGCATCGGGCACAGGAGGATGGCCATTCAACATTGTTTCACCATCCAGGACAGCACACACTGTATGAATGGAGACTCACTGGAATGGAGTGGTGATGGTCCTCATGTAACATGCTGTGGGTGTTTGAATTGTTAATGTTTTTTTTTTCTAATTGTAAGATACATGGCATACAATTTGCCACTTTAAAATGTGAAATGCAGTGGCATTTTGCACACTCAGCATTCACATTGTGTAACTATCAACACCATCCATTCTCAGACTTTTTTTTTTTTTTTTTAATGCAGAGAGCAAGAGAGAGAGACAGAGAGAGATACAGAGATCCTCCATCCACTACTTCACTCCCCAAATGCCTGCAACAGCCAGGAATAGGCCAGGAGCCTGGAACCCAATCTGGTCTCTCATGTACGTGGTAGGGAGCCAGGAACTCAGGCTACGTCCTGCTGCGTCCTGGAGTGTGCACCAACAAGAAGGTAAAATCAGAAGTAGAGCGAGGACCTGTACCCAAATACCCAGATACGGGAGGCGGGTATCTTCTTGCTGCTGTGCCAAACGCCCACCCCAAGAATGGTCTTTGAGCAGGAGGATGAAAGCAGCTCAGGGGACTTGAGCAAGGTCACCCGTGAGGAACTGTGCCGTGCTGCTGGGCCGCCCCCAGCTGATTCACGTGCAAGGAGACATGGGAGGCAGGGGACAAAGTGCCCACTTGAATACCTTGGGGCTATGAGAGTCGTTCCCCAGTAGGACTGAGAGAGGGGGTAGCACCAGCCAGCTGCAAGGACCAGAGATGATGGGATGGTTTTGAGTGGGGTGGGTGATTTCTGACACCCAAAGAACTGAGAATGAAGGGAAGCTGTTAGGGATGGTCATGAGCAAGGTCAGATAGCCAAGGTCCGATAACAAGTGAGCGGGGTGCAGGGGCAGGAGACGGTCGGAAGGAAGAAAGGCTGGGGGAGGCGAGGGGCCCCTCGGATGAACGTGCGGCTCTGGGGACACACTTGGTGGCAGCACGTGGCTTTGAGTGAGACTTGCTAGCCCAGCTGGGGAGAGGTGTGAGTTTCGTTTCCTCGTACTAGTGGTGACTGATTGAAGCCAAGTTAGGGGATAAAGACATTCGTTTTTCCATCTTTTGAGACTTTTCTGTTTCTTGTTTCTTGCACTCATTGTATCTTTCCTTTCAGAAAATGCTATTTTACAACTAAGTCCTGGTATGGCTAGAACTTAACTTTCTTTCTGTCCTTTTTTTTTTTTTTAAAGATTTATTAATTTATGTGAAACGCAGAGTTGCATAGAGAGAGGGAGAGCCAGAGAGAGAGAGAGAGATATCTTTCATCTATAGGTTCACTTCCCAAATGGCCACAGTGGGTGGGACTTGGCTGCTCGGAAGCCAGGAGCCTGGAACTCCATTTGTGTCTCCCACGTGGGTGGTGAGGACCCAAGTAACTGAACCATCTTCAGGGCCGGCGCTGTGGTGTAGTGGGTAAAGCTGCCGCCTGCAGTGCCAGCATCCCATATGGGCGCCAGTTGGAGTCCCGGCTGCTTCACTTTGTCCAGCTCTCTGCTATGGCCTGGGAAAGCAGTGGAAGATGGCCCAAGTCCTTGGGCCCCTGAACCTGCATGGGAGACCCAGAAGAAGCTCCTGCCTCCTGGCTTCAGATCGGTGCAGCTCCAGCCATTGGGACCAACTGGGGAGTGAACCAGAGGATTAAGACCCCTCTCTCTCTCTGCCTCTCCTTCTCTCTCTGTGTAACTCTTTCAAATAAATAAATAAATAAATCTTTAAAAAAAAATTGAACCATCTTCTGCTGCTTTCCTAGGGGTGTTAGCAAGGAACTGGATCCCAAGAAGAGCAGCTGGGACTCCAAACCAGTGCTCCTGTGCAGTGCCGGTATGGCAGGTGATGGCTTAACCTGCTGCACAACACCAGCCCCAACTTAACTTTCAGCCTAATCGGTTTGCTTTTCCATGGGCCTAATAACCATAGTAGATATCAGGTGTTTCAGATTGCCACGTTTCAGGCTAGGGACTGTGAATGTATCATCTAATAAGAGACTTGCAGTAAGTCCATGAGGTACTACCAGTATCTCCATTTTCCTGGTGAGACACTGAGGCACAGGGTGTGGGTATAGAGCTTGCTTGAAGTCAGAATGTGAATCTGGGTCCATCTAACTGCGAATTCTATGCTCTCTAAAACTTTGTTCTGATGTTTTTCTTTCATGTTTGTTTCTTTTTAATCTGCTTGAAAGGCAGAGTGACACACAAACACAAACATGGAGACAAAGACAGGGAGATCTTCTGTCACCTGGATTACTCCCCAAATGCCTGCAACAGCCAGGGCTGGTCCAGGCCAAAACCAGGAGCCCGCAGCCGTATCTGGTCTTCTCTGTGGGTGGCACGGGCCCAGATACTTGTGCGGTCATCTGCTGCCTCCCCGGGTGCATTAGCAGGAACCCGGGTCAGAAGCAGAGTAACTGTGTTCTGATGTGGGCTGTGAGTGTCCTAAACAGTGGCTCAGCCAGCTGTGCCAGGATGCCCAGCCCTGTACTCCTGTTTTTGTTTGTTCCTGGGAAACTTATATTTTCCTATTTAAATGTATTCTCCTTTCTGTTGCTTTCTCTCTCCACTGTCACTTTTTTTTTTTTTTTTTTTGACAGGCAGAGTGGACAGTGAGAGAGAGAGACAGAGAGAATCTTCCTTTGCCGTTGGTTCACCCTCCAATGGCCGCCGCGCTGATCCGATGGCAGGAGCCAGGAGCCAGGTGCTTCTCCTGGTCTCCCATGGGGTGCAGGGCCCAAGCACCTGGGCCATCCTCCACTGCACTCCCTGGCCACAGCAGAGAGCTGGCCTGGAAGAGGGGCAACCGGGACAGAATCCGGCGCCCCAACCGGGACTAGAACCCGGTGTGCCGGCGCCGCTAGGCGGAGGATTAGCCTAGTGAGCCACGGCGCCGGCCTCCACTGTCACATTTTTATATATCAGACGAAATCCCTCTGTGGCTGGGTGAGGTGCTAGGTACTTGTGAGGGCACCCAAAGAGTGTAAGCTCACCTTTGCTAGTGGGGTGCTCTGTTTGAATGGAGCTGGGGCTGTGGTCCAGCAGGTCAGACCACCGCTTGGGACATCAGCATCCCAAATCGGAGCTGCTGCCACCCACGTGGGAGACCAGGAAGGAGCCCCAGGCTCCTGGCTTCAGCTCGGCCCAAACCTGGCTGTTGCAGCCATTTGGGGAGTGAACCAGCAGATGGAAGCGCTCTCTCTGTCTCTCATTCTCCCTTTATGTAACTGTCTTTCAAACAAAAATCTTAAACAAAAAAAAAAAAAAAAAAAACACTCTATTTGAAAATTTGTCAGTTACAGAAGCACAAACTTTGATGTCTACCTTCTTTTATATCACAATATCTATAATGAAAAAAAAAAAGGCCGTATTAGAAAAAAAGGAAAAATCAAAAGTTTAAAAGAAAAAAAAAAGACTTTTTCTTAAGTGGAGCCACAGAGACCCCTTCCGGTCAAAAGCAGAAGTACTGGGCAGAGAACCAACTTCCAAACAGGGCAGCAGAGTCGGAAGAAACAGAAACCTCGCAGAAGAGAGTGTTGGTGCTGACTCAGCAGAATGGGGAGGAGTAGCACGCACGAGAGCAGAACATGGTCGTGTTTCTTCGCTTCCCATGGTGAAATATGCCGGCTGTAGATAATTTACAAAGTACACCATGCAAATAAGAGTCATGCCTAACTCCACCATCCAGAAATAATAGTAGAAACGGTTTTTAAAAGATTTATTATTTGAAAGGCAGAGTGATAGAGGAGAGGGAGGGAGGGAGAGAGAGAGATGTTTCATCTGCTGGTTCACTCCCCAAATGACCGCATACACCAGAGCTGGGCCAGGCCAAAGCCAGGAGCCTGAAATTCCATCCAGGTCTCCCGTCTGGTTGGCAGCAGCCCAAGTACTTGGGCCATTTTCCAGTGCTGGGAAGGAGAGCAGCTGGGATTCAAAACCAGGGCTCATATGGATGCTGGCATTGCAGGCAGCAGCTTAGGTCACTGCCACATCACTGGCCTGTAGAAACTTTGTGTGTATGTGTGTGTTTGGAGTTCTCTCTCTCTCTCTCTCTTTATATATATATATATATATATATATATATATATATATATATATATTTATATATTTATATTTATATATTTATATGTGTGTGTGTGTGTGTGTATATATATATATATATGCTTTATTTATTAGGGGGTTAAGGACACAGCCTGCAGCACCAGTATCCCATATGGTGTCAGTTTGAGTCCCAGTTGCTGTATTTCTGATCCTGCTCCCTGCTAATGCACTTGGGAAAGCAGTGGAAGATGGCCCAAGCGCTTGACCCCCTGCACCCATGGGGGAGACCTGGAAGAAGCTCCTGGCTCCTGGCTTCAGCCTGGCCCAGCCCTTGCCATTGCAGCCATTTGGGTAGTGAACCAGAGGAAGGAAGATCTCTTTCTCTCTTTTTCTGTTTCTCTCTCTCTTAACTCTGCCTTTCAAATAAATAAATAAATCTTAAAAAAAAAGATTTAGTTGGAATTCTGTTACAGAGAGAGCAGGAGACCGAGAGAGAGATTGTCCATCCACTGGTTCACTCCCCAAATGGCTGCAACGGCAAGGGCTGGGCCAGGCTGAAGCCAGGAGCCAGGAGCTTCTTCCAGGTCTCCCATGCAGGTTCAGGGGGCCAAGTGCTTGGGCCATCTTCCACTGCTTTCCCAGGCCATTAGCAGGGAGCTGGATCAGAAGTGGAGCAGGTGGGACATGAAGCAGTACCCATGTTGAATGCTGGCGTCAGGCAGTGGCTTTATTTGTTATGTCACGCTGCTTGGTCCCCTGGAGACATGTTGATGCCCTGGCTTCCAGGGCTGTTTTCTGGTTATTATATTATTGTTATTCACAAGACTGGTAACTCTTTACTTTGTCATTGAGTTCTTTTTTAAAAGATGTTATTTTCGGGGCCTGCGCTGTGGCATAGTAGGCATAGTGGTGTTGGCATCCCATATGGGCACTGGTTTGTGTCCCGGCTGTTTCCAATCCAGCTCTCTGCCATTGGCCAGGGAAAGCAATGAAAGATGGCCAAGTGCTTAGGCCCTGCAACCACATGAGAGAGCCAGAAGAAGCTCCTTGCTTAGGACTGGCTCAGCTCTAGCTGTTACAGCCATGTGGGGAGTGAACCAGCGTGGATGGAGGACCTCTCTCTCTGACTTACCCTCTCTCTTGCTGTAACTACCTCTCAAATAAATAAATAAAATCCTTAAAAATTTTCATCTACTTGAAAGGCAGTGGAGAGCTGTCATCCATTCACTGGTTCTCTTCCTAAGCACCCACAGCAACAGGGCTGGGCCAGGCCAAATCCAGGAACTAAGAACTCCATCTGGGTCTCCCCACATATGGGTGGCAGGGGCTCAAGCACTTGAGCCATCATCTGCTGCCTCCCAGGTTGCATTCGTGGGAA